TTCTGCTAAAACAAATAGAGATAGGAAGTTGAAGCACAGCATGGTACTAGTCTACAAACAGTGTGGTTATTTTGTTAAAAGCAAAGTCAAACTTGAATTTGACCATCTTCCGAACAACTGAATTTCTAAAACAAAACAGCTTTTCCAAATCTGATTAACTGAGTGCTGAAATATTTGAAGATTTCTCCATTACCACCCTGTCAGTCTCCCAAAGTCCAGAAAGGAACAGAGCAATATTTTTTTCTGTTTTTTTCTCTGTCTGTACAAGCAATAAATTCAGTAATAAATGCAGGTTGTAGGAATAGATGGACATAGAGAAACTGAATATGAACAAGTACAAACTTATGAGTTCTGCTGTAGAATGGCAGGTGGACAACTGAGAAGTGAATTCTGTCAGTAAAATCCTGAGTATCTTCTCACAAAGTTTATGGCACACTTGGCTTTGAACTGATACTTGGTGACTCTAGGTTGTGCCTGACATTAGGATTAAAAAAAACATGTATTGACATGCTATTTGAGACGCAAAGTAAAAGTCACTACATTAAGAAGTACATACTCAGCCTAGAGAAGGAGAAATCTTAGAGTGGCTTGAATCTATTTTTTTAACCACCTATTGAACAGCTATTGGAGAAAATGTTAGGCAGCCTCTTGTCAGAGGCACACAGCTCAAGGACATGCAACAATAGTCACCAGTTGACTGGAACAGACAAATTTGTCAACAATTAGATTAAGAAAGTCCTAATCCCAAACCATGTATCTTGGAGTTACTGAAATCCAATTAGTTAATAATTCATAATCTAAAAGATGCATTCTGTATTAAACATATTTTTTAAATTAAGATTCACTATATCTTATTCTCAAGCTAGAAAAATGAACAATAAGTCTCACTGACAACTCTAAGACCCAGTTTAAAAACCCGGGTGATTTTAATGAACACAAAAGCTATTCTTTCACAACAGAACTACATCTATACTGGACACAGAGCAAAGATACTTTGAGGGTGAAAATGGGGATAATATTCATTGGACTATCCATTCTTCTAAAAAAATCTTACACAGCACAACATTTTGTGAGGATAATTTCATTCTCTATCATAGAAAGAGCCTTAATTGTTTTCTTTTGTGAAGCTCCAGCACATCATAATGCCATCAGACCTCTTTCTGCACCTTAGCATAACATGACGAGCCCTAATTAAGCGAAGGACAAAATATGCCAGGCAGTCTATTGCACTATTCATTTTCTGTACCAACGGCTCTTAAGAAAACAATATTGAAGAGCTCTAATATATCTTAAGAATACTATTGCTTTGTCTCTGGTATGGATATGCAGAGACAACACAGGTGCAGACATAGTCATTCCTGAACCCTGTTTGTATCCATGAAGCCTTGTTTCTATTTTAGACGATATTACTTCTTTCCAGCATGTGTATTTATGCACATATCCCCACTAATGTGCTCATGCACACTCAGTTAAATTTACTGAAGTTTAAAAACCACAAGACCTCACTGAAAATTTTTAGCATGAAAATTGCAGTTAATAGATGTACTTCCAGCTACAAAAGAAGTCAAAAGCCAAAATTACGTGGATTTTCATTGGGACTACAGGAAATTTAATTATTTATGAGTAATAAAGTCTGGGCTCTTGAAAGTATCCACAGTGGACCTAACTCGGTTTCCATTTTTCATCATTCAATAAATATCTTCGCTTTTTCAGCTGTTATAGTCAAGAGTATTAAAAATGTTAGAAAGATCAGGAACATCACAGTAAATGCTACAAGGAACAGACTGTTGCTTTCTCTTGACTACTGATTATGGAGTAACATCCTAACATTTTATGAACTGTATTACTGGGAAAAGCAAGGAGTATGACGTAGAGGAAAACATTCTCCAGTGCAGCTAATTTTAAACAATAAAGATTGTTCACCTTTGGTGGGAGATGACTAAAAAGGTTTATGGCAAAACATATAAAAGTCTACTAGGTTTTTGTAAAGCACATTTCTTTTTAAAAGTGCCCATATGATTACACATTACAAATGATCACTGCTTGTTCTGTGAGAATACCAATCTAATAGCACTGTCCAGAAAAGATAGAAGAAAAATCTTATTTGGTCATGGGGAAAGGAAAAAGTGGAAATCATTGCCCCAGAGAAGATATAAGGAATGTGATGATCATAAAATGCTGATACAAAGCAAAAACTTGTGGTTCTCAGAAGAAAGATTAATTAGGAAGTTGATGCCTGTCAAATGAATGTTTCCCTATGCTACCACGTAATATTTGAAAATCTTGAAAACAAATGACTACACAGACCTGGAGCAAAACGTTGTCTTTCCAGAAAACATTTTTTCCCTATGACTTTAAAGTGGAAGCAGATTTTTCTCTTTATAATTGCCATTTCACTACTTAATATTGTATCCTTCTATACTTTGCCCTCTTAAAAGCCTACATTAGATGCATATTTTTGTTTATCTTTATCTTTAACCTAAAAATGCTCATGACTGCAAAGATTGTGCTGGAATGTGTGTTAAAAACCTGTCGGATTAAAGTTCCCCAAAAGTTTGTTTTAATTTTTGAGCCAAACTTCAGTTGACACTGCCCCTTTAAAGTCCAATCTGAAAGACCTCCAAACAGTAAATTGCATGGAACTCAATCTGTTTATCTGCAAAGGATGAAAGGGTTTGTGCTCCATCTAGATTTGAACTCTTGATTCCACAGTGTCTAGGTATTTCAAACCAGAGGTTTACACCATTAAGACATGCCCATCTGGAATGGCATCTGAATCTTTCCTATTTTAATATCCACGATAGAAAGATAAATGAATGTCTTGATAAAGTAGTGAAAAAATGTTTAAAAACACTAGACCACTACTTATATGATTTTTTTCTAATTTCTATTTCTTTCCCATTTCAGGTAGAATAGGTGACATTTATCTTTTTTTTTTTTTTTTAATCATTCTGTGCAATTCTTAGGAAAAAAGATTTGGTAAAAGTAATTAACAGGAACATCAGCTTGTTCCCCAGTCGCCTCAGAAAATCCCTCCTTCTTTTATTACCTATGTCTCATGCCACTTGTAGGGTAATCTGCTTATGACTACCTTAGCCAACCAAACTGTAAAATAAATGCAATGTACCCTATAACATAGGCAGCTCCAGTTAATATTGTTCAAATTATTTACATCTGAAGGGCCGCGCCTGTCTGGAGAGCTGGGTCTGACGCTTCTCTGGACGTGGTTTCTGCAAGTCACATCTGTTTCAGCTTTAGACTTTCACTGGTATTCTGCCAGCAGCCACAACTTTTTAATGGCTGCAATAAACTACAGAGACTCATCAAATCTTTGTTGTACGTGTTAAAATTATATCCTATTCAATTAAGATTTTTATTTAAAAATAAACTATAGCATTATCTAATGAGAAAAATTTGAAAGGCAATATTTGAAAGAGATACAACATCTTTAGATGACTGTTTCATTGTTTAAATGCAAGAGAACTTAATGCTTACTAGAATTCTGCTGTATATTTCTGAGTGATAAAATATCGACATCTGAAAACATTTCCACAACCTTTTTGGTTTCAAATTGTTGTTGTCATTAATGTTACATGTTAATTGGTTTTGTTGGGTTTCAAGTACAACTGTACAACGAAGTCTTACAAAAACAAGCTCAAGATATCTACATCTTCTATAAATATCAAAGGCTGTATAGTGTTGAAATACAAATTAGCGATTACAAGGAAGTTGCAGTTATTATTTGCAACGTTAGTTAAAAGTGCATTAGCTTTTCCTACTTTCTCTCTCTCTCTCTCAACAATGTTGAACAAAAATGATTCAAATGTCAAAGCCCCAATAGAGCTCCTGCAAGACTAAGATGTATAACAGCGGGACTACACACTGAAAAAGTACAAGATCAAACACAGATCATGTTTCTACACAAACTAGCCTAAGAGAGGGCAGGCCAAGGGTTTTACAGGGCCAGGCGATGAGAGGAGATAGAGCACTCACTTATGCCCGGGTCGAACAAACAACAACTGATACTTTCCTACCACTGTTAACCTTTGAAACTATCCTAAAGATGGCACTGACCTAACTCAGCCATTTCTAATTGTAAAGCAGAACTACTCTTTAATGTTTTTCATTGTCTTACGGTGAAAAATTAAAAACAATCACCTTATTCGATTCTGACAGTAAAAACATTCTTCCATGTTGATGCAGAGCTGTATTATATAAATGCAAATACAGAAGTTTTTATGAGCCTTTGGTGCAGATTCTCTTTCTGAACGTCCTTTTCAACATACCACTGCTTCAGTGCTGCTTTGCCTGAACCGACAAGCTTCAAATATTCAGTCATCATCTGCTGCGTTTATTTTAAAAAGTCATATGAAGCACTAAACAAAAACAAAACTGGCTAGAGCACTTAGACAGCAACCCTTCCTACTTTATTTCCACTCAGTATTTTGATTGATAGATGAGTTGGGTTTCTGAGCCCCTCTTTATAATAAACATTTTAAAATGTTTATTTTATGTCCCAGGGTGAAAATATTTTGAACTGGAGCTTTCCATTTTCCTTTGCTGTGCCTTGGCAAGCTGTGTTTTATTTCTGCATTAATAATATTCAAGTTCTCCCTTGTAACTCTTAAATTGTTGTTATACAAGTACTGAAGAAAGTATTTATGCTATAGAACTAACAGATATCTAGAGTTAAATGCAGCTTTCTGGAGAAGCCAGAAGAAAACTAACACAGAACTGAAGGAAGTTACAGAGAGGGTTAGGACTGCTTGATTTTAAAAGAGAATCACAGAAAATTACTTCTCAGGATCGTTACTTTCATTTTTTTAAGTCTCAAGTTTAAAAACATTTATTCTATTTTATGTGGGTAATTTGTGCCACAGTGTAAAACCTCTAAATGAATCAGCACTATAAACCTAATTAGCAATAAGCAAACCTCATAAAGGTCACATTTTAAATGGCACTTAGTTGTTAGCAGAACAAACATGAAAAATTCCAGTTACCTTCTAGTTCTCTCTTCAGTTTCCTTAAGTCTTTTATTAGGTCTTCAAACTTAACTTGGGAGGCCTGGAAAAAATCCTGTGGTTCTGGTAAAGGAAAAATGCTCTTGTCTGTTCCTGCTTCCTAAACAAACAAACAAACAAACGGGCCGCTATGAAAATTAAATACATTTGCAGTAAAATAAATTTCTGTTTCTGAAACTTAACTATATAAAACTGCAAAAATAGAAAGCTAAAATATCTCTGTCTAAAACATCTCTTGCTAAGACAACATTATATATTATTTCAGATGAAATCCTGTCCTTACTGTATCAATGAGAATATTACTACTGACTGGAAAAGAACCGGGATTTCAACCTTCATTTTCAGCCCTCCTCTATAGGAGATTCTAATTTTCTACAGAAAAATACAAATCACTTAACTCACAGATTTTTAATGTCAGATGGATTATGTGACATCAAATTCCTTGTGTTCTATGTATAAACTGCTTTGCAGCTCACAACTGTGGTCAAAATAAAATGTGTCTTTAGGAAAAACATCCCTTCTTAATTTTGAAACCTTCTTTTAAAGGTTGCACTGCAAACTGTGCTAAATTTAATCTTCAAAACAACACTGGGAATGTAAAATTTGAGTTCATTTTATATCAATAATGGATTAGATAAGGGATTAGAAGTTTCTTAACAAGAGAAAACATGAATGACTTTTAACAAGTGATTTGATGCCAGAAGTTTGTGGTTTCACTCTTTCCCAGCTCATTAAATATACACGCACTTTACAAGTCTAAATTGAAAACAATATTTACATATTGCCTAGAGCGCATTATACCGATAAAAATATACATTGAGGGTTTATGAGGCAAAATAAATCACACAGTTTGATGTCTACATGGAAGTCCAAAGCATAAAAAAAATCTAAAAAGGAGAAATTCTAACAATTCTAGTGCATAAATGGTATTAAAATGACACTGCATTTTACAAGTATACATGGGTGAGATTAAATACTATCTGTTCTTAGATTTCAGTCCTAAATAAAGGAGACTTTATAGTTTGGGGAATTGTTTTGTGAACAGTGATAGAAAAAAATACATTATTAAAAAGACTAGAACATTCAGAAAAAAAGTTAGTTAAGTGGATTAAATTGCCTCCATTTCCTGACAAAAGAGCATAAACTTTTTTTTCTACAAAATTCTCATAGCAAAATTACAGTCTGGAAGAAAGTTGAAAAAATATTAATTAAATTGTTAACTTCAGCATCATTGAAAAAGAGATAATAATAGACATACGAATATTCTGAAAATTGTGAAAAACAGAGGGTACATGAAATTGCTTTTGTAAGTATCTTTTTGCAAGTTATTTAGGAGAAAAAAAAAAAAGAAAAAAGAAAAACCACTTTCTATATAACTGAAAGTTTTCTTTCTCTCCAGCTCAGCCTGAAGAGCTATTGCACAAATTCCTGACACAGAGACCCTCCAGTGTTGGAGGTGCCTTCAGTTCCTTCAGTCTTATTCCTGAAAAAAATATCTATGTGTACTCACTCTTCAATTCAACATTCATAAGTAAAAATGAACAAAATTAATAAATGAAAATACATGAAAAAATGTTTATGGTCAACTACAGATAGGACCTTGAAAATTAATTTTGGTCTTAGAATTCAAAGGTTAGATACAGGCATATTTTTCATTTCAAAATCAAAACAAAAAAGACATGCTTAAAAATCAATCGATAGTGACATTTTCATTTAAAACAAAAGAGTTGAAACATTTCACTCCAAAACTGTTCATAAATGTAAATAATTCAAAGCAGGAGGATCTCTTCCTGCATTTCTAGGCTCTAACTTCATCACTATCAACCGACTCTCCTATCTTAAAGTAGTAACCTCCCATTGCAGTCTATCATGATAGAAATCATGTTTCTGACTGCCATTATTCTCACATCAAAGCAAGAGTTACAAGGCACAGAAATCTGAGTGCAAGGACACAGGATTGCAGTGACCACCACTGCAGCCACTACAGTTGCAGGCAATTTTTTGCAATATTTAATTCAAAAGAATCCCAAAAGTTCCACAATTAATGTAAAGTTTTCCAATACTCTAACATAAAACCTGTAACAACTCTCATATCTATGAAAGCGTTAAACTATTAAAAGCAGAAAAGATGCATATTATTTTGATGTTACAGCTATTGTACTCAGATTAAAAAAAAAAATAGAGGAAATATAAACCCTACAGTCTCTTAAAGAAATATACTTTTAAAGAGATTGATACAACAAATGGATCTTTTACCTTATCACAATGGCGTAGGTAATATATGACAACATAATCCACAAGATTGATGCCATTATCCTAGGAGGAAAAACAGATACATTACTGAAAAAGTAAACCGGAGAAAAGTTAAAAGTTGTGTGCAGAACATTGTTTCAAGTGAGAATTTACTATATTCTAAGAAATACACTATTAATTTATATTGCTGAGAGAAATAGGACTCAATATCTTTAGCCCTAATGTTATTTACCAAAAGATCCACCTTTTATAACATTCACAGGCTTGACTGCATTACTGCAGATTCAGAGGTTCTTTTAGTACAGAAAACATGCAGTGGGAAAAACTGCCATTCTTGCTTTTCTTTTTTTAATAATACAAGGCATTTTTAAGTTATGTTAATACTAAAGTGAATTCAGAACTATTAGAATGAACAGAATTTCTTGATTCTTCCATTACTTACGAATTGAGATTAGGGATTTAAAAGGGGTACAGGTATTTCCCATGTATTATCCCAAATACAAAACCACATAGCATATGCTTAGCAAGTACATTTCATGCACTGCACTTTTTGAATAAAATTTTAACACTTACTCTGTGGATTCACCATCTCCTTGGTCCTGTTTCCCCTACTAGAACTGTATAAAACAGCATTTTATTTTATTATATGTCACTAGGTCAGCATAGGTCAGATGAACTATGTGAAAAAGTAGAACTGTGACTTATATATTACAGGATATTATTCAACAGCATAAAAGAAACATAATATAAGGACTTATATCTGGAATGTCTTTGATGTTTTTTGTATGTGTTTTTATATTGTATACTGACAGGTATCAGGATAAACGTTTGTATATGCACAATGTCTGATTTCCTGTAGAGAGCTGCCTCGCTTATATTTGAGCCTGCAGCATATTATATTTTATTAATATCATACAGCAGCAGAATTCTTAACTAAGCAAGTCATTGCTCTTATGCAGACAAAGCCACTCTGTTTTTATAACAGTTTTTCTTCAGAGTGCATTATTGGCAGGTTGCGTGACAGACAATGAAGTGAGGTCACTTGAAAATATGTGATTGACCTTTTAAAGCAAAATATGCCTACTATTCTATTTTATAGAAGTCAGACTAGTAAACCTAACACTTTGTTTAAACAGTATTTGTAGAAGACAAAAGAGATTTTGAAGTAAGCCACTATCTTTAAAATGTCTATACCAAGTAATTTTCTGGGTCTCATGTGCAACAAGTGGCTTTTATGTGAAAGAAAAAATGTTCTTGACTCTTTAGAATATTTCAGAATATTTCAGAATATTTATTTAAGGTTGGAAGGGACCTCTACAGATCATCTAGTCCAACCTTCCTGCTCAAGCAGGCACACCTAGAGCATGTGGCACAGGGTGGCATCCAGGCGGGTTTTGA